AAGATGCGAAGAGTGCTAACCTTCTCATAATTATGACATGCTGTCGTGAGGAATTTTCTATGCATATACACATATGCATGAGTATGTGTCTATACAAGAGTTGTCTTTCAATTGTTTGTATTGTGAAGGACATAAATACTATATTAATCCAAAGCATACTCATAGCTACAGTAGTCTGTGTCTTTCTTCATAAGTCCATTGTGGGAAATATAAGGATCCACACAGTTCTGTTAGGGAAATTGACATGTGAGAAAGTGCTTATAAAAGATGAAGTGATGACTTTCCAACATAGATGTCTTTAAGAAACATCTGGGATTTTCCATTTTGATCTTAGCAACACTATATATCTGAATAGTAAGGAATTTTGAATGCATTTAATATTCAGTTTTCTGAAGTAAAGGTTATATGTGTGTGTATTCATAAATATGTATGGTTCTATTCTTATAATTAGGAGTCCTTAATCTATTAAGAATTTTGCTCTACCATCCAGAAGTTAATTTTTTGAGTGTGTTTTAAAGGGTTTAACAGTACTACTTGGTTACCATCCAAGTACTTTTACTGTTTGGTAGAACATAAACAGAGCACACATTTGGCATGATCTGCTGTCTTGATGGAGCAATGCACATAACACGGATATTCCAGATTAAACTGAAGAGACATTTTCAGAACTGAAGAGAAGATTGCACAGTGCCTACTCACAAAAACTGTGGCTAATGCTATTAGATTTTAGATGTCCTACCAAAGGATTAGGAGCTCTGGTGGCTTAGTGCCTAAGGCATTTGACTGCTAACCAGAAGGCTGGTGGTTCAAACCCACCAGCCACTCCTTGGAAGGAAGACTGGGCAATCTACTTTCATAGATGTACCGCCTCAGAAACTGAAGGAGGGGTCGCTGTGAGTCGGGATTGATTCTATAGCAGCGAGTTTTGACCAAAGGATTAACAAAACCTTGCAAGAAAAGGGAAAGTCACTTGTTAAGGCATGCAGGAAAATATGTAGAGGGAGATTTTGATATATAACATATTAGTCAATTTATTTAGCTCATGGCACCAGTAAAAAGGTAGCAGTTATCAAGTTAAATTTTACTGTAAAATTATCTGTATATTTCATTTTTCTCCGCATACTGTTACTGCCTTTTTTGTTGCTGTTTTTGTTGTTTTCTTTTTTCTCCCTGATTCTTTTAAACACCTTCTGGAATTAAGATTTTAGAAATGATTCTTTTTGTGTACTTACTTATGCATTTTTGGAGTTTTTCTCTAACTTCTATCTTTGAGTGTACATATAATTGGAGGAGTGAATCTTGCTCTGTAGTCCTTGCACCTTGCAAATATATGGAGACATTTGTAGGATTTGGTTTGCTTCATGTAGAAACACACAATTTATGGGACATTGTCATTTAGAGAAGGGACAGTAGGGATTCTAGAGAAGTACTGGACCAGGAGATAGGGTGTAGTTTTTTGTTCCAGTTCTACCACTAACTAGCAATGTGACATTGGGCAAGTTAACTTCTCTGGGTTATAGTTTGTTCATCTATACAATGAGAGTACTGAGCATAATGATTTCTAAGAGTTCTAGAAGTTCCAGAAATCTCATTCTACATTGGGAGCTAGGGAATTCTATGTTGTAAGATTTGCCCAAGACTGACTCTTTTTGTGGCCTTGGCCAAGTCCTGTCATTGTCCTTTGTGTGTTACAGCTGTGAAATATGCATTTCACAGGTATTTTAAGTGATTCATTAATGTTCATAAAATGCTTGGAGGAGCTTTTGTGTGCTCTGTCAATGAAACCAGTGTTTCCTAAGATGTGACAGAGGGTTGTTGACATTTACCTGTCTAAATATGAAAGTAGTGGGACACTGAGCCTGCACACAGAATTGTATTTACAATACATGCCTAATCGTTTTTCTCCTTTCATTCTATAGGTCAGACTTTTTAGTTCAAGAGTGTAGTGGTCGTTAGACTCCACACTTGGCACTGGAGTCTCTGTCAGTAAAATCTGATTAATTTGGACTCTGCTAATTTGTAATTTAGGAGCTCTGGTAGCGTAGTGCCTAAGGCACTTGACTGCTAACCAGAAGGCTGGCGGTTCAAACCCACCGGCCACTCCTCGGAAGGAAGATGGGGCAATCTACTTCTGTAGTGATATCACTTCAGAAACCCAAGGAGGGGTCACTGTGAGTCGGGTCTGACTCGAAGGCACATAGCAACAACAATTTGTAATTTACTTGGCTAAAGTTGATTTCTAAACGATGTTTGAGGAATGGAGTGGTTAAGCCAATTCATGGTGTCAAGTATAGTTTATGGACCATATTTCTCTACTTAAGGAGTGCTGATGGTGCAGTGGTTAAACACTCAGCTGCTACTGAAAGGTTGGCAGTTTGAACCCACCCAGTAGCTGTACGGGAGAAAGACCTGGTGATCTAAAGCCTAGGAAATCCTCTGAGGCAACTCTGCTCCATCACATGAGGTCACTTTGAGTTGGAATCAACTGGACGGCACCTAATAACAGCATTTTCTACTTAGAATTATTTTTAAAACCTTTGGGATATTAGTTGTTTTTTCACAGAAGGTAATTACAAACGATGCTTTGCAATTTATTAAAGGAAAAACAAGAACTGAATATAAGTAAACGTTTATCATTAGATATAATGTTTGTAAGGGCTTGAATCCTTGAGTGTTGAGAATGGAGTGGAGGAAAGCAGTTATATTTCTTTTCACTTGGAACAAATATTCAAATTATTGGAGTGCCACCAAAACTAGAACTAAATATTGTTGTTAAAAAAATTAAGCATTAAAAAATATTAAGTGTAAGAAATATAGACTGAAAATTGACGTAGAAGATTTTGTGGTATTGGTTGATTTCTTTAGAACCTAAGAAGATTAGACAAAGAATCTGTGGTTTTTTTGAGTCAGTTGGTTTTCCACAGAAGAATATTTTAAGAACCTTTACAATAAAGTGACCTTCACCTGTTTATAGGGGGTTACCATGTTGGAAATTGAGAAACTTCTACCCTATTTCACACTCATAATTCTAAGTAGTCTTTATGTTGTTGTTGTTGTTATGTGCTGTCGAGTCGGACCCGACTCATAGCGATCCCTCGTTGGATTTCTGAGGCAGTATCACTACGGAAGTAGATTGCCCCATCTTCCTTCTGAGGAGTGACTGGCAGGTTTGAACCACTAGCCTTCTGGTTAGCAGTCAAGTGCCTTAGGCACTATGCTACCAGAGCTCCCAAGTAGTCTTTTTAGACATAGATAAATGGCTAGAATTCACTACCATTCCACCCAGGTTTGGGGGTCTTTATTTTCAAAAGGGGAAGTCACAGTTGCCATTACTGCCTTGTAACATTTTCATAAGCTGGAAAGTGGTTGACTCTCCTTTCTAAAACATTAGCCTCCTTGCTATAGACTGGTGATTTGTAGCCATGTTGTTTTATATTTTTAAATCTTTGAGAATGCTTCAGTGTTTGAAATTTTTTCTGAAACTTACTCTGAAATTGGATATTTGGAATGCTACCTGTAAATGTGGAGTTCAACAGAATACTACTCGTGTGTGTGTGTGTGTGTGTGTGTGTGTTTCCTTTTTTTGGGTTTCTAACAAGTTGCTGCTGATGATTATACCTATGTCTTATTTATCCCATAACCATTAAAAATTACTAACACAAAGCATTCTGAAGTAAAATTTTGACTGTGATTTATTTGTATTTGTGGTAAGGTTTTTTTTTTTTTTTTTTTAACCTTTTTTAATCTAATCTAAGCCACAAGCGTATTGGTTAATACTCATTTCTCAGATTCCTTCACGATTTCTGTGAGATAGTTTTGTATATGAGTACTGAAAGGAGTTGGAAATATAATTTAACCCTTTAAGTAGCTCAACTGGGCTTGAGGGTGTATGTGTGAGATAGATCGAAGAAAAATTATTTGGTAGGTAGTGATGGCTGACATCTATTTAATATTTAATAAAGTTCCTGCATTACCAGTCAATGTCTCAAACTAAGCTCTTTCTCACTCTCAATAAACACACACACACACACACAAACACATGTTTCTCTTTCATAGGAAATATTATTTGTCCTTTGCTCTTAAAGGAAGGTAATTCTGATGACTTTCATGGATTTCACGCTGTATTTTTGGTATATTAAATGATATATTTTGGAATTTTCAAAAGTAGTTCCTCAGGACAGAACCATTCATCCGTGCTTTTTAAATACAAATGAGCAAACCTCTTGAGGGACCAAATCTCGATCTTATAAAAATTAGGAATGATTTGGAAAGAGTATCTGAAAGCCAACTAAATTGGAAGCTCCAGTTTATTGTTTAGATGCAAACTTGAAAGTAAAGATGAGCTCTTTGTCACAGCAGTGATTAAAAAAAAAAAAAAAAAGAGTGGTTTTGTGCCAATGGCAGTTTGCCTCCATGAAGCTTGCCTTGATGAAGACTGATCATTTTGTTTTTAGGGAGAAGTCGAAAGGTATTGTGGGGATAAATATTTAGTGGTGGCAACTAGCCTACATCAGTAGAGTTCAACAGAATACTAGTTTAACTAATTTTCACTTTTTAGAACTGTTTATAAAATGTGTTAGTTTGGCGTTTTAAACAGAAACTCGAAACACCCAGTGGCTTTCAGGGCATTTACAACACTCTGGCAGGATTTTCAAACAGTACAGATGAACCCTTTATTTGCTATAGCTGTCATGAAATACCTCAAGCTGCCTTTGACAGCAGCTTGATTTTTATGTCTCCTTGTCAGTCACTCATCCCTAGAGGTTACCTGACCTGCCACTGAGCTTTGGAGTGGTCCTTGCTGGACACCTGCTTGCCCAGCAGCATTGGTCTCCCCTCTGGGCAATTTGTGAGCTGTTTGGGGGCAGGGGGAGGGAAGGAGAGGGGAGGAGGAGGGAGGGGAGGGAAAGGGGTGGGTGGTGGGGAGAGGGAGAGAAGAAAGGGAGGGCAGCGTTTGAATTAGATTGTTGATAGCGTCCCTCAGCCCTGGGAGGACTGCTATTAAGAGCATGCTACTCTGTAGTTCTCTGCTGCAGAAGACAGAGAGAAATCCGTGTTACCACAGCATATTGTAAATGTATGAGATTTTGCTCAACCGGCTCGGAAATAAGAATAGGGAAAGGAGAGCAACTCGAATCAGAAGCTGCTAGAAGAGTGTGCAGAGTTCTGCAGCAGTTTATACTCGTTCTTACAATTTGCCTTCTTCTGACTGGAACACAGAAGGACTGGCATTTTTTAACCGGGCTTTTCCCATAATGGCATTCTTGTATTATGTGACCAGAGCTTGCGCAGGAGGAAAGCAGGCTGCCGAATTTAGTCTCTGATCTCTATTAGCTGTGGCCTAAGGCTATGCTGAGGTTTATATCCCATTTGTATTGTTGCAGCTCAAAAGAAGAATGTTCAGAGGATGACAAGTGTATTCTGAGTAGGTATGTTGTTTCGTTTTCATATGAAACCCATCTTTTTTTTTTCCTGCTACTATTGGTCAGAAATCAGGTTAATAGGTGCAGAACACAGTACAGTGCTGCAGTATCCCTGTTAAGGTAGAACAATGGTATTGCAAGCTGAAGAAAATAAAAAACCCTAGCTGCTTTTCTTAAATAAAGCTGCATTGTGTGGTATGCACAGTGCAGTCTTAAAAAAAAATATATACTGCAGTCAACGTGTTCCTAACGAGGTGGCACTATTGTTGAGTTAGAAGGATAGAATCATCATATTGCTTTAGGGGACAGGAAGATTTAAAGGAGGTACCTTGCAGCCCTATTTTACAGATTGGAAGCATCGGTTAAGGGCACTGGCAGAACCGTTCACTTGTTCTCCGCGGCAGCCACTGCTGTGTCAGTACACTGTGGAATGGAAGTCCTAGTTGGTAGTCTGTTATGGAAACGCTGTTTACTGTTATTGTAGTACCGTGGTGACAACATGCCATTGAAATGGAAAACGAGCTCTCCTGCTATCTGGAAATTCCCAGTTCCTGTGCTTAAAACATCCAGGTCAACGCCACTTTCTCCAGCATACATGTAAGTGAGAGAAAATAGGATATTAAAACGGGATTTCATTCATGAATCAGCCTTGTGGCAAAGGGGGGAAAACCCCCAAACAGCAACATCCCCAAACCCACAAGATTAAAAATCTCAAGCTTGATTACATTTTAAAGACATTGGCATGCCCACATTTTACTATGGTTTTGTTTTCCTAGGAGTTTATGTTTATTTCATTTGAAGTGCTTACTGGTAATCTGATTATCAATTTGAAAGCCCTAAGATATGCATAAGGAATTGCATAAACTTTAACCTTTAACATTGGTTGAATTTTTTGTTTTGTTTTGTATGGAATTTTTGTATGTCTAAAACACTTAAGTTCTTTTGTGTAACAGCACAAACAAACTGCTGATGATTGATGCTGGCATTGTGTTAAATATGGAAATGCCTTCTGTACTATCTTTTGGTGCATCTGAAACATACTCAGAGTTAACACAGTGATCAGAAAATGAGTCTTTTAATCAGGATTTTTAAAGTTGACTTGTATATGAATATTAATAATTTGGATATTACATCTCTCCCAGTCTTGTCATTCAAGTTCTGAAGTGTAAGTTTACATTTTTGCAAATTTTACTTCTGCGAATCGTTGCACATGTACAGGGGATTGTAAACTATATTATATGAATGTTTTATTTTAGACATTTATTTTAAGGAAACACTGAAATATAATATTGGAATGTCTTCTTAGAATTTTTGAGAAAACAATTTAACTCACAAAGCATTGGTTTAAAAACAAAATCTAAGAGCTGTAATAAAATGTTCTTTTAAAGTTTTGTTCATAATCTTTTTTTGGTGGAGGAAGGAATAAAGGAAAGCTAGACATTTTTTTAAAAAACATTAGTAAAAGAAAGGCTTAATTTCTTAAATGTGAATTACAATGTTTTTCAACAGGAAAGATGTGGAAAATATCTCCTATTTTAGGTTAACTGTATGTTTAGAAATCTGGTGAGGTGCCATTTTCTTAGATTTTGTTTAATTTGAGATTCGGATGCACAGTGATAGCTGGTTCTTTGAAGGTTTTCAGCTGCTGATGAGGTGGTTCCCTGGAAAGCAGAGTTAAATCTTCTCATCATTTCATTTTCAGATGACTTTTGATGTTCTTTCTTAGCTCCTTCAGTAATTTCATGTGTTCAGATAGTTAACTCTTTTTCCTATGAAATTAAAAGGGTCAACTATTTTTGTCAATAAAAAAACAGCTCTGTTGGTTTCTAAAAAGCTGTATTTATCAAAAGCACAAGTAACTGGGGGTGACAAGTTAATGGAGGTCTTTTAAATCATTTGAGAAAATAAATGATTTGAGGGACTAGGGTGTGCCTGCTGATTTTATGGATCTTAGCTGGTGAGCAATGGCAAAGATTGACCCAAAGCAACTTTGGGGGCGGGGACTAATATCGGTAGGTTAAAATTAATAATGGTTATTAATGTATCCAGTATTTCAACTATATTTTACTGTCCGAAAGATCCAAACTATAGATCTAATTGCAGCCGGTTTGCCCATTTTTAGCGATGGTTAAAAAATATCTATATTTTATTTATTCATATTGGCCACAAACTTGGATACAGCTTAACACAGCATTTTTAATGAATTACTTTCTTCCTTTTAAGTACCACCCTCTTTGACTTGATGATATGAGTGAACTCATTTAGATAATAGAACCTGGAAAATACCACGGAACTTGCACATAGTGTGGATTATTGGTAGAACACATCGGTAGAATGAAAAAACATATTTGAAGAGCTCGTGTTAGGCTAGACTATTTTGACATTTTAATCCTCTCTGCATTATTTAATTGGCATTGACATATTACCCTTTACAAATAAAGTAATACAGGATTCAAAATATTAGTAAATACGAAAGAGAGAAAATATGTTAACTAGAGCAAAAGATTAGTTTGGGGAGTTTAAATGCAGGTTTTTAAATAAATTGTTTAGATTTTGACTGGTTTTAATTAGAAGAATCCATTGCTTCACTTGGCCAGAAATAAAAACTTCATGTTTAACATGTTGTTCTCATCAGTGCATCTTTATATTGTACAATACTTCTACACAGAAAACGGTGCTTAAATTTAGCATAATTTTTTTTTTTCTCAATAATTTTAAAGACTGAGTTACAATGATGGATATGTTCACATTGTGTTAGCTCTCACTATTGTTCAGTTTCCAAACATAGGTTAAATGGTTGGTTGAGTCTAAAGTCTTGGCAATGAAATGTAATAGTTAAATTCTCACTCAGTGATAAATTGTGATAGTTTAGAAATAATTTTCTGTAAAATCATGTATAAGCATTTAAATATTACTTTGAATTAGAACTCTTCACAGTTAATATCAGCATCTTTTCATATGTATACTTGTATAGTATGTATAATAGTTTGTAAGGTTTTGTCACTGATTTGTCAAATATACTACCTGGTTTTCATTGAAGATGGCTACTTTTCCAAAGACTTAAATTTCAGTATGAAATATTCTTGGTCATAGTGAAAATACATGGCAGTAATGGAGCAAGTGTGGAAAAAATATAAAAGCTCCCCATGGTCTCTTTCCAAACCCAATGTAGGTGCTGCTCGGCTATAGCTCCTCCATTTGATGCTGCGAAGATAGGGCAGTGCTGCCAAGCAGAGTGAAAGCCACAAGACCACATACTCCCTACTGCAAACATTGAACAGAAAAGCTCATTTGTCCTTGTGGGTTTGAAGTCCAAGTTTGCTTTCTTTCTGCTTGTTTAAAAGATGAATGACTGTTGAAACGTCTCCATATATTTAAGACTTCTTAATGATAAAGATAATGTTTATAACAATATTAAGGAAAAGAGTTTCTTGTATAGCATAAGGCACTTTTAAGTTGTGTTATGATACGGGAAGAGTGGAATATCTTAATGAGAAATGGTTAGGAAAATAATCCTGTGCCGTTCAGATATTTACCAATTATTTAGTCTTTATTGTGTGGATATAGCCTTCCTTCAGCTTCAATTTTTGACACTTGCAGGGTGGTGTGTGTCATCCATGGGGAATTCTGAAGGGTTTGTCTTGATAGAAATCTGAGTCATTGGTGACATATGTTTGTGTTACTCTGTTCAACAGTCAGTTGAAGTTAGCCCTTAGCCTGAGGGAGGGTGCGCTAGTCAGTGTAAACTGAATCACTAAAGGCTCTGCTCCTGACAGGTGTGAACCATGTAAATTAACCTGCCATTTTGCCTAAATTAACAAAACTGAAAGGACAATCACAGCTAAGTGGTTTGCTGGTGTTTTGGTATTCATTGTCCTAAAAAAGCAACTGTTTGCTTCAGGCTAGTGTTTTAGGGTTAGTGCATTGTTGGATTCTAAGGACACACTGCAACAGAACAGGGATAGCACTAGAATCCATTAATCTTTTCTTCACAACAGCAAGGTTTGACAAACAATGGTATGGCAATAATGAGGAAGACAATTTGATAAGAGTTAACTAGTGCAGTGTAACAGTGAATTCTAGAAAGACATGCATGGACATATTTTCCTTAGAATTTTACCTTTCCCAGGCTGAAAAAACAATGGGTAGAATGATTGTTGGTGAATTCGACTTGTCCTCTTTTAACCCTGCATTCGGTTATCTTCCTGCTTGCAATTATTTTGTTTTAATGTGTAAAATATATGTTAGAGTAAATATCAATAGCACGGTAATTTATAGCGACTGCTTTCTATTCTTTCATCATTAAAATTCAGTACGTAATTTCCTGAGAAAAGATGGCGCACATTGTATATATGCTTCTTGTTTGTGGGTAATTCAAGGGTTAGGCAAAATAAAAGTACGCATTTTTGAAGTTTCACATGTTTTCTTTCCTCTAAGATTGTCCTTTTTTTTTTCTTCTAATTTAGTGATTAAAACAAACCTTTTTGTTTTTGGAAATCTTTTTTATTTAGAAAAGTATTTATTAAATCGATAATCTCAGATTAGAACAGAATAGATTTAGTTAGGTGGTCGCACAATTACCATAGACACAAAACTTTTGTTTACTCACTGCCATCAAGTTGGATCTGACTCATGGTGACCCGTCCTTGGGTTTCTGAGGCAGTTTCACTATTGAAGTAGATTGCCCAACCTTCCTTCTGAGGAGTAGCTGGTGGGTTTGAACCAGCCTTCTGGTTAGCAGTCAAGTGCCTTAGGCACTATGCTACCAGAGCTCCCAAACTTTTGTTTGTGTCTGTTTAATTTGTTAGGGAGCCTTGGTGGCTCAGTTGTTAAGAGCTTGGCTGCTAAAACAAAGGTGGGTGGTTGAAACCCACCAGCCACTCCCCAGGAGAAAAGTGGGGCAGTCTGTATCAGGAAAGATTACAGCCTTGAAATCCCTATAGAGCAGTTTCCTCTAGGGTTACTATGAGTCAGAATCAACTCGAAGGCACAAGGCTTTTTGGGGTTTTGGCTTAATTTGTTTTTTTACTACATATGCTCAATTAAACAAAACTATGTGGAGAAATAATATAACTAACTCCTAAGAGCAACTTCATTTTTCCTGTAACTTTAGTGGCATGTTCTTTGGAAACTTCCATTGTTCAAGCTTCTGGAAGGGCTAGCTTATCATTCATTAGTGGTAAATCAGAGAGAGAGAAGGGATCTTAGAGGTAATCTACAGAATCCAAACTCCCTTTACTGCAGGAATCCCTTGAATGCTGTCAGTGACAAAGAGCTCAGTACCTCACAAGGCAACACCTTTCTTTCATTCATAGACAGACAGCTAGCCCTTCTGTGCATGAAGCGAAACCAATGCTTCATCTCTTTTATCTTCTCATCCTAGTTCCCCTTTATGGAGTTACATAGAACAAAATCGATTTTCTCTGTTACATACAAACTTGGGAATTTTACTTTAACCATCACTCGTGTAGCATGATTTCTAAACTGCTCACCTGGTTGTCCTCACCTGGATAGTTTTTCCTTATATGGGACACTACAGCTGAGAGCTACGCTTACATCCTTACCAGTAGAAGATACCTCTTTCCTTACATATGGAT